ATCATCATCATCCGTCACGATCATTCCACACTCCTTGCACTGCGTAACATTTCGAGGAAAGCACCGAACAGCATCCCAAACGCGTCAGTTCCGCCGATAATCTTTCCGTCAACTTGTTGACGTCCACGGGACGCGGTTCACTGGATCAGCGTCCTTGCGCGGGCGTGTCTCTGTGTTTAACCGGGCGAGATTGCGTCAGGGGCTCATAGGATCCTTGCCAGATCTCAGTTTTTCAGTTTCATTTATTAGGTATAACCCTGTGAGCCATGCGGCTCTTGACTCGGGTGCAACCGAAACAAAAAAAAACTTGAACAAGATCTGGACACAGTCCTCCCCATTGGTGATCTCCGTCGGCGTTGGCTGAGTCACTTTAGTCCCGCACACCCCAGCCACCGCATTTCCCACACGAATTATGTTTTGCCGGATAGACGGGGCTAAACGGGCACGGCTAATTTGTGTACTGATGTGGTACGGAAAGATGTGGAGCTGAGTGACTGGTACCAGCGGTGTCAAGATTAGTTGAGTTAAGTTAAATTATTAGGTATAGTCCTGTGAGCCATTCGGCTCTTGAATCGGGTGCAACCGCAACAAACAAAAACATGAACAAGAAACATCTTAAAGTGACTACACGCAAACAGAAAAATCCATGAAAAGACAGCAAAGTCTTCCACAAAAAGCACGGTATACCATTGCTGTGTGCAAAAAGTGGGATGCAAGTCAAACAATAACAACCATAAGACAATTTTGATTAAAGTTACGTCGAACTCTGTACTACAACAAACAAATATGGCTAAACCAAAACATTTTCGAAATCACCAAAATATAGCTATAAAAACCATGTAACAGTGATCATTGGAACTGTAATTCAAACTTAACAATAAACGATATACGTAACATGTACGACCAAACTTTGCAGCCATAGCTGGCAGCATAAATCACTCCATCGACCTCTGTGGGGGAGGTTCGTGAAGGACGCTGCTGCTGCTGCTGGTGAGTTGGAGGCAGTCGCCATCCAGCAACAACAGAGGGCGGAGGAGTGACCGCTCACAACAACGAGCGGAGCGCAGGGCAGTTAAAACACAGAACGGTGGCACAATGGGGAGTAGAGTTTGGTGCGCACAGTGTCTCTGGAACTTGTGTAACGCTGTGGGTATAGTAGGGGGCACAGGTGGTGCATCGGCCAGTCATCTCAGTCAGACAACCCATGGCACCTGGATCTGTCCCGTCACCTGCCAGCGGGCCGTCGACACTTCACGTGGCCTCAAAGTGCACCTAGCCTGGCACAAGCGCTGCGGTGACGTCAACGCCACTTAGTGGTGAACGGCGGTTGTTGTTGTTGTCTGTAGTGGAGCGGTCGTGCAGCGGTTACCGCGCTGCGCAACGAACCCGACAACCTGAGTTCGATTCCAGCTCACGACCACTCACACGGGTGACGATTATCTGAAGCGGTCCTGGGCCTCCCCTGGGTCGACTCAGCCTAAAATGAGTACCTGGTGCGATGTGTGAACATCGCCACTTCGGAGACAAAGGCGGCCGGGCGTGGCGTTTTCCACCCACCCCCTCGTTGTGCCGTGCCGGACCTAATAGGTGCTCGCTAACAGAACTTGTTAGCGAGCACCTACAGAGAATATTTATGTCTTTAGGGCGAGCGGTGGGGCAGTTGTTAGCGCACTAGCGGCCGGGCGTGGTGCTGGCCACCCACCCAACCAACCCACTCGTGTGTCGTGCCGACCTTTGTAGGTGCAGATCGCCAACGGAACTTTCCCCAACATTCTGTCGAGGCAACCGCGGGGCATCAGAGCTCCGCGCGCTCACCGCTAAATGCGACGACCCGGGTCTCATTTCCCGTTCACGGCCAAAATCGACGACGAACGTAAGGGCCTCACCTAGGTCGACTCAGCCTCAAATGAGACGTTTCTCGTGCGGGCTGTGTAAAGATGAGCGCGGTGCTGGCCAGAGGCGTAGCTAGGGGGGGGGGGGGGGCAGGGGGGTACATGTGTCCCCGGGCGCCAAGGTAAAGGGGCGCCAAAATGAGGCTTACAACGTTACATTAGAACTGATTGCGGCGGGCGCGGCAGCCTGAAACTACTGCACAAATCTACACCTCAACCTACAAGTTTATATATCCCGCCACACACAGCCTACATGTCATGTAATTACATTTTGGTACGCGCGCCTATTAAGAACTTACATGGAAGAACGTCCCAAACAACAGACAGGCGCAGTCTTTCAGCCTTAGTCACTGGCCTGTTTTTTGGTGGCGGAAACTACGACGGCCTAAAACACGCTGGAGTGCACGATCACAAGCTGTTAAAGCTATCTATGAAGCACTGGATGAACTAGTAGGGCTGCTAGACAAATTATCGGAGGACGTAACTATGACGCCTGAAACCAGAAGTGATGCAGAACAGTTACAGGCATGCGTATTACATTTTTGCTTCATAGTTTTATTACATTTCTGGAATGTCATTCTTGGAAAAATGTATCGTGTTCAGAAGCGCTTACAGGATCCTACTATGAATTTCAAGGAAGCAGCAACTGATCTTGAATCTTTGAAGCATGAATTTGTCAAGCTTCGTGATGATTTGAGCCAAGTTGCTGTAGAAAACGCCAAAACAAGATGCACAGCCTGGGGGATCGATGTGGACAGAATAATTAGGCGACGTCGGAAGATGCCAGGAGAACTGGCAAGAGATGCAGGATTTCAGCCGAAGAAGAAATTGTGCGCGTGATGAAAAGTGTATTTTATCGACTTCAACAGATGTCAACACGGTTTTTACGACTAAAAGACCTGAACACAAAATTTGGATTCCTACTGGACGTCAAAACTCTTCTATCCGACACAGGATGTCGATGCAATTCGTCGAAATTGCACAGATTTTGGAAATTCTATGACACCGACATCAATGGCCACGAACTTTTCACAGAAATTGGAGATTGCAAAATGCTGCTCAGTAACCGGAATGAAGTTTGACCAGAAACTCCTTTGGATCTTCTTGGTTTTATTGTGTTTTATGGAGACGACATATTGCCGAATTTTCGAATTTCACTGCAAATTGTATTAACAATAGCAGTTTCAATTGCAAGTTGTGAGCGGTCGTTCAGCAAATTTAAACTTATTTTGTCGTATTTGCGTGCTTCAATGGGACAAGATCGTCTCAGCGATCTTGCTCTTCTTAGCGTTGAAAGAGAAACAGATTTTGATTACGTGATTGACCAGTTTGCGACAGTGAAATCAAGAAAAATTAATCTTTTGTATACTGTCAACCAGTCCACGACAGTGACTGAGTGAGCCATGTAATATAATTTCTATAAACTAGCTTTTTAAATACAATGTTTCATTAAAATTAAAATTGATATTCCTTATTCGATGTAATAGGATAGCGTGATTAAACGGGGGGTGGGGGGGGGGTTGGGGGGGCGCCAACTTTATAGTTCGTCCCCGGGCGCAAAATATCCTAGCTACGCCTCTGGTGCTGGCCACCCACAGCAATTGCCCCAACAGTCTGTTGCGAAAATCCGCACATAGCATGCGGAAGCGTATCGAAAATAGAACCGTGGTTGAAATGCACAATGTGGAAGTGGCCCACGCTCACTGACATTCAAAAATACACACTATCACTCACTGGCTTACCAATACCCTCACACTTCCTCTATATCTCTGAAACAAATACACAGATTCCCCCTATAGCCTTAACAGGCTGTAGGGGCAAGTGCTGTTAGCGAGCGCCTATTAAGGCCGGAACGGTACACGAGGGGGTGGGTGGCCAGCACCACGCCCGACCGCCTTCGTCTCCCCAGTGGCGATGTTTACTACACACCGTACTGGGTACTCATTTGAGGCTGAGTCGACACTAGGGGAGGCCCGGGACCGGTTCAGATAATCGTCACTCGTGTTGGCCGTGAGCGGGGATCGAGCCCGGGTCGCCGAGTTCATAGCGCAGCGCGCTAACCGCTACACCACCGCTCCCCACACACACAAAGATCCCCGTATAGCCTTAGCATTCTGTTGGGAGCAAGTGCTGTTACGTTTGCTCATTGCACTAGTTACTCATTTGAGGCTGAGTCGATGTAGGGGAGGCCCAAGACTGAGTTCAGATAGTCGCTGGTGTTGGCCGTGAATGGGAATCGAACTTCTGATCGCCGGGTTCGTAGTGCCACCGCGTCGTTCTTACCAAGAACCGTGTTGACGCTTTTGACACGGAACTTGTTCTGATTGGGGGTTGTTGCTTTGTGCTTCACTGCCAACGCAGTCACGGAATCAAACTTTTTACTGACGATTGGTAATGTTGACAATGTACTAAGATACTGAACCTATTTCGTACCGTACGTAGACAACCGTGCGAACTGGAGGTTGCGGAGGAAATGCCACGAAAGCCACTTTAAGCACACAAAAAATCCCAGCTCTAACGAATGCTCTCGGTGCATTAGGTATCACTGTTACCACAATCGCCATCAATCGTCAAAGGGCACCATGATTTCACACACCGATGCTGAAACATACTAACCCACAACACCAACAATGAAACAACCAAAATCTCCCGTATAGCCTTCAGAGGATGTTGGGGTAAGTGCTGTTTAGAGGGGACCCATTGAGACAGGACACGGCTCACGAGGGGTGCGAGTGATGAACACGACGCCCGGCCGTCTTTGTCTTCCCGGTGCACCAGGTATTCGTCTAAGTCTGAGTCGACCCAGAAGAGATGCCCATGAGCGATTTCTTATACATTCATACATTCGAACTCCGGTGGCCAGGGGTTCGTGGCAGAGAGCCACCGTTCTTTGTGCAGGCCACACGCGCACGCGCGGCTCCTCAAGACACGCACGCGCACAACAGACACAGACATGCACACACTCACAAGCATTCCATTTACCAAATATGGCAATACCGCCCACCCACCCCCCCAACCTCCACCACACGAATTGACCGCCACCCACTGATTCTCGGTAGCCTTTTACCCTCTGCCTCTGACCCCCCCCCCCTTCCCTTGCAACCCTCGGGTATAAGAGGGGGTGGATATTCAACGTCTCCACGCCACAGTCACTTCGTGTTGACTCGGCACGACGCGCTCCTCGTCCTCACCAAGAATCATCTTCTTTCTCCTAGAGCCGTCAGCATGGGTAAGCCAGACTTCCAGGTTGTGACCGTGACGACGGATGTGCCTTGCGTTATACCCAGTGTTACCCACACCAACGTTTGTCCAGCGGTTCCAACCATGTGGCACGCGACGTCGGCGTGTCTTGCCGGGTAGCCAACGCCTCCGCGTGCGTTACGCTACCCGTCGTTTGTAAAAATAAAACCTCCGGGGTAACCCCACGACTCTCGTGAAAAGTGCCCACCGCATCCCGAAGGGCTGCCGACTGCGGTCGAGATCCAACGTTGCCTTGGGCAAGATTTTGTAAGTAGTAAACGATGGAGCGTGTCGGCGAGATCGGTCAGAGGAGTGACAATTTTCATGTGCCCCAGGGTTTCCACCACCACCACCACCATACTCTTTGGTTCTTTCGGTAAAGTCACGTATAAAGACAAAATTATAAATTAGATAATAGCATACTACGACGTTTCCGAAAGAACCAAAGAGTAATCCCTGCAGTCACGAAAGCTCCAAATTAAGATTGAACCACTTCTACGGGGAAGTTTTAAGCTTATCTTTTTTCTCTCTCTCTGGCTTTTTTTGTTTTCTCTCTCTGCCCGTGTCCTCTCTTTGGAATTTTCACACTTAAATTCTAACTTAGCAATCTTTGAAATACGTAATCAACCAGGCTATGCGTTAATTGTGTGCTGACCGACTCTCCGTGTTGCATTACATTACGTTTCGATATTTTGCTAGGTTATTTAATTTTAATGTGTCTCTCTCCCGTTCTCCTAATTTTCAAGCTTGCGTACCTCACCACCACCATGTTTACCAATGTCACTCCACCCCCATTCGAATTAACTCGTTTCCACGCCGCGCGCGTCCAATGATTGTCAGACACGTCCCACGTGACGTAATTAGCAACGTGCGCATGAACAGATAACTGATTCCATTGACAACTGAGGTCTCAGTGAGCGTGTGCACATGCTCGGCGTGATCGAGCGGTAAGTTTGGCACGCGTTTAGCAAGCATCGGGCGCGTGCAGCGTGGAAACGAGTTAATTTGTGTTTGGATTGGGGAAGAGTAAATTGGTAGAGACGGCGCGTGGTGGAGTTTGGGAAACCCCATTTCTTATCCTAATTCTAGATTTGAAGCTTTCGTGACTGCAATGATTCATATTCTTGGGTTTTTTCGGTAAAGTCACGTAGGTAAAAAAATAAAATTACAATTAATAAAAGTAAAATAAAATAAAAATCACGACGTTTCGGAGGCAACACAAGCCTCCGTCTTCAGGTGGAACCGTCACAGCACGATTGCTGTATCAAGTAAATGAGAAATTCCAAGAGATCCGACCCCGTATAATCGTATATATACTAACCCTAATTATAATACTAATCCTCTGACAAAAAAAAAACCTCTAACCCTGTTCATACCCCATATGCAAATCTTAATAATAACTAACACCAAGCCTAATAATAACAACAACCATTATCTCAACCCTGAACCTTATTTGTAAATATTTAAGGCTGTATGTGAATGCATGTATGTATGTACGCGTGTTGACAAAGAGCGGTGGCGCATTGGTGAGCGCACTGCGCGACAAAACCGGCTACGCGAGTTCGATTCCCGCTCACGTCCAATGACGGTGGCGAATATTTGAACCGGTCCCGGGCCGCCCCTAATGTCATCTCGGCCTTAAATGAGTTTGCTGGTGCGATTAACACATCAGCACTGGGGAGACAAAGGCGGCCGGGCGTGGGGCTGGCCATCCACCCACCCTATCGTGTGCCGTGCCAGACATCATGGGTGCAGCTACTCGCCAGGAGCACTTGCCCCAACAGTCTGTTCAGGCTGCACGGGGGATCTTTGTCTTTGTTCGTGCGATCACGTGTCCGTTAATGTGGCTCGTTTGGGTTGGCTCGCTTCATTGTTCGTATTTTAATTGTTAAATTCCTCGTACAAAACGTAGCTCCAATGTCATAATTAAAGTTGCATTAGCAGCCTTGTCGCCGTTAAATCCGGATTCAGCCGGGCGGTTGTGGTGGCTACGCATGTGGCCTCTAATCCAGCACCGGTCTCGGCAGCAGCGAGAGTTGGTGTATCACACGAAGACGTCGCGAAACTCCCTATTGGGCCGTACCTCGGCTCTGCCAGAAAGAGGTGGTATCGCAGAAATGTGATCCGTCTCCATGGGGATAGAGCGTTTCCCCCTCGCACGTATGGCTTTTTGTTTTTCCTCCGGGTGCTCCCATTTCCTTTCACATTTAATTGAGCCGAGAACACCTCAGTACATAGAGGACCACAGAGCTTGGGGGGGGGGGGGGGGCAATCGTTGGTTTCGTCGGCTTCTCGTCTGTGGCTCCTTCTTGCGCCTCCAAGTGGCCCTTTCTCTCTCTCTCGCTACGAGAGCGAGCGGCGGCGCAGCGTTCCAAGCTAACAACATCATCATTGCCATTATTCGGAGAAGTGAACAAGCTCGGTGGATGATAAGATTAATATCTTCCGGTAAAGTCACGTAGAAGGGAAATAAAAAAATAATATAAATAAACACAATAAAATAATTCTCACGACGTTTCCCTTCTACGTGACGTTACCGAAAGAACCAAGAAGATGAATCCCTGCAATCACGAAAGCTTTAAATCGAAAGATAAGAATTATAGTTTTAGAGATAACAAAGCGGCATTGTGGTGTCGGTCCAAATAACTCAATGCTGAAAGATCACACTTCAAATGTCTAATTTTTTTAGAATTGCTTGTTGTTTGTTTTCAGTTTGTTGTGTTGAGTGTTATTGTGTTGTTGTTGTTGTTGTTTGTGTTTAGTTTGTTGCCCTTTCCTCCACGCCTCCGATTAGCACGGTTGGCTACGTACGGTGCGAAAGAAAGTTCAACATGCGTATTACGCAATTGGAAATCACACGCAGCAGCGGCAACGACATCGCCCTCTCGCTTGCGACGAAAACTCGGCAGGACCCTCTTGAACAATGTGTCTTTTGACTGCTCAGGTTTTAGACTTGGAAAACGAGCGCGATAACAACGATGAGTTGAGCTTTTACAGATTGCAGCGACACGCAGACTTAGGGCAATAGGAGTGCGAAACAGAATTTACACATCTATGGGGAGCCGAAATCGCGATAGTTATCGTATCGTAAAAATAAACTATTAATAACGTGTCGTGAAACCTGATATCGCGTTGACATCGGTGCGCGCGGAATTATATGTTATTTTATATGTAATTTTATTTTACTTTTATTAATTTTAATGTTTTACCTACGTGACTTTACCGAAAAAACCTAAATTATATGTTGCACTAAACAGGGCCCCGTGGTTCGGATGGAGTGCTCTCTACAACAATAACGTCTGGTAATCCAGCGGGGGTTTGTTTAACGAAGACTGGATCTGCCGATGAGACCTCAGCAGATCGAATCCCGTTCGGAGTTTGCTGTCAGGCATTCCTGTTCTGGAAAGCCGATGGGCCGATTGACTTTAACGTAAGCTAAACATTTTTTAAATCTTAACTTTGGAGCTTTTTTTCCCCTTTATACGTGACTTTACCGAAAGAACCAAAGAATAAACATTTTTTGTTTATTTTGCAAGGTAAGGCCCACTGAGCTATGTATTTTTTTTCAGAAGTGACTTTGCCACAAATGATATCTCAACGAAGTGGCTTATCACGTGGAAATGTGTAGCAGCTAAATACTCTAAACTTGTGATTTTGATTCTAAATGTGGAGGGAAAACCAGAGGACGCGGAGATAAATCCACACGACCACAGAGAGAGAGAGAGAGAGACACGCAAACTCCAAATATACAGCAGCAGGCGTCAGTGTCGGTATCGAACTCACAACCTCCTGTATACCAAGCGAGGTAGTTAACATCTCCTAGCCACCGTGATGATGATGAGAGAGAGAGACACGCAAACTCCAAATATACAGCAGCAGGCGTCAGGGTCAGGATCGAACTCACAACCTCATGTATACCAGGCGAGGTAGTTAACATCTCTGCACCACGGCGCCCAATATGGGGCAAACAAGACTGATAGTTGCATACGCATTAATTGTACAGTCATAAAGAAGTGAGAAGGGTTATACAGTACACTATAATTAATTTAAAATGGTTAAAGTTTTCGCCGCAGCTTCCTGTTATTGCAATCATGGGAGCTAAATTTAACTCTGCCCGTGTCATCCCCGGCCACCATCACATCGGAAGCTAAGCATGAGGCTTCCAGACTGATTCACACCCCACTTGGATGGGAAGGTCCCTCGGTGCTTGCCAGGTGTTGTAGGCACGGCGATACGGAGGAGGTGTGGCCAGGAGATGGCAGTAGAGCAACGGGGGGGGGGGGGGGGGGGGGGCTTGAGAGCGGCGGGGCAGTGGTTAGCGCATTGCGCCGTGAAGTCCAGTTCCCGGCCCTCGGCTCACATCAGCGTGAGATGGAATTGCGAACGGGAATCTCTGGTAAGGTCGGCGGTGAAGGCGCGGCACCTGCAAGTGCTCGCTCTCGCGATTTCGTCGCGGCAGAGGCATCCACCGTAGCTGGCTCTAGGGAGGCTACTCTTCCGTGGTGCCGTTTCAGGACGGTTTTGGAAGACGCGTGGGAGTCACCCACGATTTATCCCACGACACAAGACCAGCCCGTAAAATTGACAGCGCCTCTGCACCCATCAATATAACGGTTGACTGGCGGGGCGGATAGAGGCGGAATTGCGGGCGGGGAAATGTTTAAAAAATTGTGTCCCCGTATTCTACTCCCATTTATATTGTACCAAGTAAGGGCCCACTGAGATACGCAGCTCCCTTTCAGAAGCGACCTGGCCACAAATCATAGTCCAACGAAGTGGCTCATCGTGTGGAAATGTATAGCGGCAATATATACTCTAAATACATGCTTTTAAATGTGGAGGGGAAAACCGGAGGACCCGGAGAAAAGTCAACGCAACCACGGGGAGAGAGACACCGCAAACACCAAATATACAGCAGGCGTCAGGGTCGGGATCGAACTTATGACCTCCTGTAGACCAGGCGAGGTCGTCCACCATCTCGCGGCCTCTGAATTGCAACTCAGTGACACCATCCCTGTGGCAGTGTGCTACTCGTTCCATGAAATCCTGTCCTGGATTCTCCCTTCGATTGCGACAGATTTTGTTGTTTTTAATATGCATTATTATTATTATTACAACCTCCTACTTCGCGAGACGGGTCCGACTCCAGGCTTACAAACGCAATTTCGGGGAAATTCAGTTTTTCCCTCCTCCAAAAAAAGTTTGGGGACTTCCCAGTGTTTTGTTTTTTTCCCCCTCTGTGGTTATCTATCGCCACTGGTCAAACTGCCCCTTCCTCCAGTTAATACAATGCCTGGTCAAGGGGAAATGACACGGCAGACATAATGCGTGTGTGCAGATATACAGGAACCAGTGCTGGGGGGGGGGGGGGCGATTATTTTTTTGGCTAAGTCCATTACTCGATAGTGGCTAATTTACCGGAACCTTTATCAATCATAAGGGGGAGGGGTGGGGGGGCACCCTGATATCTTACCAGGGAAGGCTCACTCAACTAGGTAGCTCTTTTTGAGAAGCGACCTGCCCATCACAAATGATAGCTCAACAAAGTGTCTCACCACGTTGAAATTTATAGCAGCAGCCAAATGCTCTAAGACGCGTGACGTTGATTCGAAATGCTGGAGGGGGAACAAAAAAAACCGAAGGACCCGGAGAAAAATCCACGCGACCACGGAGAGAGAAACATGCAAACTCACAACATACGGGCGTCAGGGTCGGCATCGAACCCACAACCTCCTGTATACCAGGCGAGGTAGTTAACATCTCGCCAGAGCGTTGACCAGGCAAAACACCGTCTGAGCTTCTGGGATATTCCACCAGAGTGTGTCCGTCTGGATGTTTAACTTCTTTCGTACATAATCAACGTTTTTGGGTTTAGATCGCGTTATTTATAAATGTGTCGTAACCCTCCACCACCCGACACGGCCAATCAGTAAAAAATGTGTCACGTTGACAAAGACAAATAGTTCACAGCTTTAGCCCACCGGTGTGTTGAAGCCACAACACACCGGTGGGCTAAATGTTGTGGCTTCAACACACCGGTGGGCTAAAGCTGTGAACTATTTGTCTTTGTCAACGTGACACATTTTTACTGATTGGCCGTGTCGGGTGGTGGAGGGTTACTGACACATTTATAAATAACGCGATCTAAACCCAAAAACGTTGATTATGAATAACATTGGTCGCGAAAGCCTACGTGTTAAACTAACTTCTTTCGTACTCTACGTAGTCAGCCATGCTAACCGGTGTCCCCGTGAACAAGAGAGGAAGTGAAAGTGATCGGGGTGGAAGTACGGACGAGCTGTTTATAAATGAATTAGAGACACCATTGCCAATATACCTACTACACTCATGCAAAAATACGTGGACACATTACACACATACATGCACATACGGCAAGATTTGGCAAACAAGATTGAGCTGGATGGGATACATTTGGGTGGGACAAGTCTGGGTGGGATACGTCTGCAGGATGGAGGTGGGCCAATTGCTGAGACAGGCATTGGAGTGGTCTCCTCGAGTCTGGCGACCTAGGAGAACCGTCAACCTTTGAACACACGGTGGTAGACTGTTGGGGCAGATCTATGGGTTTTTGAATGAATCTATGGCTCTCTGTGAGTCTATGGGTATCTGTGGGAGTCTATGGGTCTCTGTGAATCGACAGGTCTCTGTGAGTCTATGGGTCTCTGTGAGTATATGGGTCTCTGTGAGAGTCTATGGGTCTCTGTGTAATTCTATGGATTTCTGTGGGAGTCTATGGGCCTCTGTGAGAGTCTATGGGTCTCTGTGAGACTATGGGTCTCTGTGAGAGTCTGTGGTTTTCCGTGAGTCTATGGGTTTCTGTGAGTCTACATGTCTCTGTGAATCTACAGGTCTCTGTGAGTCTATGGGTCTCTGTGAGTCTATGGGTCTCTGTGAGAGTCTATGGGTCTCTGTGAGAGTCGATGGATCTGTGTGAGAGTCTACGGGTTTCTGTGAGTCTATGGGTCTCTGTAGGAGTCTATGAGTCTCTGTGAGTCTACAGGTGTCTGTGTCTGTAAGCATGTATTTGATGATGGGTCTAAGTGGGAAGTGGTGCTGCAGTGGTTGGCGCACTACGCTACAAGCGTGCTTCCGGCTCATTGTCAACATCGGTGAAACATATCTGAGCCGGTCGCGGGTCTCACCTAGGTGGGCTCAGCCTTAAACGAGCAGCTGGTGCGGTGTGTATAACACCAGCGCTGGTGTTCATTCGGACGCTGTCTTTCCGACAAACCCTGTTCTTCACCTGAGGACGGCTGCTTGCGTTGTGGCCGAAACGTCGTGAGAATGTAATTAAAAAATGCTTATTTATTTATTTACTTTTTTATTTCCCTTCTACGTGATTTTACCGAAAGAACCAATAAGATGAATCCCTGCACTCACTAAAGCTTTAAATCGAAATTTCACATTATTATTATTTCATAATTTGATACGGCCAACAAAAAGGTCCCATTCAGCGAATATAAATCGGCGCAAAAACAACTGCGTCACACGAGACCTCTCGAACAGCACTTGCCCCAGCAGTCCATCAAAGGCTACATGGGTGTGTGGGGGGCTCTTTGTCTTTGTTTTGTCCCGTCAGATCCTCTGGAACTGGAGTCGTTCGAGAGGCTGGAAGTGGCGAACCAGAAGGCGCATCACCTGGAGGCTCTCGCCGTGGAGAAAGACCGTCTGTTCTTGCGGAGGGGGCAGCCGTTCCAGCTTCTCGTCAAATTCCGAGGGCGGCTGTTTAGCCCCGGGAAGGATGCCATCGTATTGGCACTGCATACGGGTGAGAACCCAGCGGTCGGCTCGCACGCTCTCTCTTTCTATCTCTCGCACGCACACACACAGCGCGCACGGCCTTAGAGAGACACACGGCGCTAGAGAGAGACACGGTGTCGCAGTGACACGGCGCTAGAGAGAGACACGGTGTCGCAGAGACACGGCGCTAGAGAAACACGGTGTTAGAGAGACACGGCGTTACAGAGACACGGTGTCGCAGAGAGAGACACGGTGTGGCAGAGACACGGCGTCAGAGAGAGACACGGTGTCGCAGTGACACGGCGCTAGAGAGACACTGTGTTAGAGAGACACGGCCTTAGAGAGACACGACGTTAGAGAGAGAGACACGGCGCTAGAGAGAGGTCACATAGACACACTCACTCTCAGAAACACTCGTTCGTACACAAGAACGTACTGTTGGGGCAAGTGCTTTTAGCGAGCACCTATGAAGGCCGGCACGGCACACGAGGGGGTGGGTGGTCAGAACCCCGCCCGGCCGCCTTTGTCTCCCTCGTGAAAAGGCAAAGACCCCCCGTGTAGCCTTAACAGACTGTTGGGGCAAGTGCTGTTAGTGAGCAGCTATGAAGGCCAGCACGGCACACGAGGGGGTGGGTGGCCAGAACCACGCGCGGCCGCCTTTGTCTCCCTAGTGGCGATGGTTACACACATCACCAGGTACTCATTTGTGTCTGAGTCGACCTAGGGGAGGCCCAGGACCGGTTCAGATAATCGTCACAGGCATTGGCCGTGAGCGGGAATATAACTCGGGTAGCCGGGTTCGCAGCGCTAACTACTACACAACAGTCAACAACCGCAACTTGCCAATAAGTGGCGGCGACGTCACCACGGCGCTTGTGCCAGGCTGGGTGCACATTGAGGCCACGTGAAGTGTCGAACGGCCGCCGGCAGGAGGTCACGGGACAGACCCAGCAGGTGTCCATGGGTCGACTGACTGAGATGACTGGCAGATGCATCAGCTGTGCCCCCCCGACTATACCCACAGGCTCACACAGTGCCAGAGAGCCTGTGCACTGTCGTAGATAGGCCTTCATCCAGCAGTGGATAAAGGCCCCGGAAGGTGATGCCACAGGCCCCCAATTCACTATCAGCCGCTTCTTTTTACAACTAATTCGAATGACTAACATTAGATTGTTTTTTTTTAACGGAACGCTCACTGCGTGTGGAGTTTCTGTGTTCTCTTTCTCTCGTCTACATTGGGATTCCTCCGGGTTTTCCGGTTTCCCCCCCTCCCCCGTAGCTAACTTTCCTCCCCCCGACCCCACCACACAATGTAACCGCGATTGGCCAAAACGTCTCAATCCTGAACCATCAATCACCTGCAAATTGCTCGGTTGGGAACTCACAGCCGTAGCAACAGCGCCACTTACTGCAGACACTTGGCAGCGCCACCCTGAACGCGAGTGAGACTCGGTGACGCTTTCCTGGGCAAAACAAGCGGAATAGTAAGAACGATAAGGGTCCGTCCATAAATGACGTCACGCACCTAGTGGGGGCGGTCAGACATTTGTGACGATGTGTGACGAGGGGGGGGGGGTGTTTGAGAAATGTCACATCAAAATGCGCAACTTAATATAAATATAGACAACACGTTCTACTTAATTAAATATACTTTTCAAAAATGTTTTCTCCTACAACATCAGAGTGCAGCGCCACATTAAATACGCACTACAATGACAATAGCTTAAAGCGATTTGAAGCATGTTATTAATTATTTATCAGAGTATTGTTTTTTGTTTGCATTTGACTGCAAGTATTGTGGTTAATGTAAACATGATTCCTTGCAGTTTTGTTTCCAGAAAAAAAGGGAAAAAACCCTATTAGTATATTTTGGTACTGGCAAAGGAGGCCTCGTGATGTCGCCCTGCCCCTGTCTAAGTATCCTGAACCGGCACTATCCACTGTCTGTGTACCCCTGTGTACGCGTACCATCCCCATCAGCTATCCCCGTACCCACATGCCACTGCAGGTCAAACCTGTGACTGACGAGCAAAGTTACGTTCAGTCCCCTTTGAGCTGGTGGTGTGGATAACATAACGCTGATGCTGCACACGCCGCTGTGCGCGTCGTCAAATCCGCTCGTCTGTCGCTTAATATTTGTCGTGGTAACTTTTCTAACCCATCCCCTAACTGGACATCTGTCAAAAAAAAACTTCGTAGCTCATCGCATTTCTCCAGGATAATTGAAAAAAAAAATCTGATTCTGCGAGCTACGTACTGTTCTGACCTCCGCAACCAGGAGGGTCAAACGCGCTTCCACTCGGCAACATCACCCCACCCCCTAACCCAAACGACCGTAGGCCCCAGCCCTTCGCAGAAGGACGGCACCCTCCTGCGCGCATCCTCGGACAACGCGGGGGAGCTCTCCGTGACCGCACACGGCAGCGGCGACACCTGGAGCTTGCTCGAGGCGTCCACCCAGGCCAGCGCCCCCATCGGCCGCTACACGGCCTTCCTGGAGACGAGGCACGCGAAGGGCGGCGACCGCACGGTGCGCTGCTTCCCCCTGGGAGAAATCGTCCTTCTCTTCAACGCCTGGTGCAAAGGTGAGTGGGCCTGTCCGGAGGCGACCACCTTTCCCCCCCGCCGGCCCCGAATTCGCTGCATCACAACGAGCAGTTGATGGGCCCCCACGACAGCCACCAGCCGGTGGCTTTGATTGGGGCTCGCCGACTGGGGGACGACAACGCAACCCGCCGGTGGAACGTTCGGGTGCCTGCTGCGGTTGTTCGTGGTTCAGATTCTGGCTGGCCGCCCCTGGTCAATTACCGCGGTCGTGTGAACTAACCGCAGAGTACAACGCGCCCACCCGCCCGCCCGCCCGCCCGCCCGCTTCGCTCAAGAGCGGGCGGCAGAGAGAACCCATGACGTCGTACGATACGAAGAGGCCCCGTTGCGTGCCCGCCGTTTTTTGGCCCAAGTTTTAAAAAAGGTGTGAGAAAATCGCACCGCAGGCCACGTGGTTGGGATCGTGAGCAGCCGTGACACCGCTGCAGGCCGCGTCTATGGACGATGAAATTTAAAAAAAACGGTGGCGCGTTCCTGGGCGACGGTTGCCACGTGCGTGCCATAAGAAAGAGGGCACGAATGCAAGCGTACTCAAAAATTACACCGGTCAACAAAAAAAACATTTTTTTCTGACCTGGGCTTTTGCAGCTGTTTTAGACTAATTTCAGGGTGCTGATTCCAAATCTGATCTCAGATTTGCTCTATCACATCTCATTTGCTCGCGGCATACACCATTTTCATTGATTTTACCCGAAATTAACTCTGTCACTTATGATTGCAAGATGTTGCGAGTCAGTGACTGCTTTGGTGTTAAAATATGGTGCTGTATTTTTAGGATAGTGTGTTTATAATATAATTTTATGTAGATATCCACATTTATTTAATATTTTTCTTCTGCAGTTTTTATTGAAAATGCAATATTTGATATCTCAAAAACCTGATGTGATGCCAGATTTGGAATCAGCACACCAAAATTACCTTAAACCCGTTGGAATACCTTATGCCAGAAAACGTGTGTTGACCAGTGTAATAATGATGATGATTTTGTGCACGGGCGACCTTTGTGTCGTGTCTGTGCGGTGATGTTGCAGACGACGCCGTGTATATGGAGGACGACCTCCTCCGCTCCGGAGTACGTTCTCAACGAGACGGGAAAGATCTACGTGGGCTCCCAAGACTACATCTCCTCCGTCCCATGGAACTTCTCCCAGGTCTCATGCAACAACAATTGCAACAATTACAACAATAATTGAGTGCATGTGGTGTTTTGCGCTAGGGGCTGCACTGCTCACGGATAATAATTCATATTGTGCTTGTTTACCAATGAAAGCCTCACCGAGTCTCATGGCGTATTCACACACCTGTCAACCCATACGGCTTAGCCCGTATTCTTGTACAGGGAAATAGAGTTTTCAGGTCCATACGGCGTACACCCGTTTCAATACGGGCAACAACATTTTTTTGTGTCTATTTGTTTGTGTTTCTCCCTTGTGATGGGACTTTGTGGGATGAACGTTGAGATTTATAAGGGGCACGGGGTGACCAATAAGGTCTGAGTTGGTCTCTAATAAGGTCGGGCACTGATAAGCGGTTGACAGGTATGCATGCAGAGGATTCTACCGTTCCCCACAACGCACACATATCGTGCACCCACAGACACAGTATACATACACACACAGCACATCGACTCTACACACACTCACTCCATCTCCTCCATCTCTTGGGACTTCTCCTAGGTTTACAAGCACAATGACCACATTCATAGCAACAACAACCCCCATTATCCACTAAGTAGCGGTGACGTCACCACGGCACTTGTGCCAGGCTAGGTGCACTTCGAGGCCACGCGAGGAGGTCACGGGACAGACCCCGGTGCCATGGGTTGACTGACTGACTGAGATGATCGGCAGATGCACCGCACGCACGCGAACACGGCCACACATACATAACACGCACTCACCAAATCACATGCAGCACACGCGCTCATCGCACTGGACACGGCAACGACGTCGACTACAACTACGACAGTGACATTGAAAGTGACCGTGCCACCGGCCGCATGATGGTGCCGCTGGCAATGCCGGATGGCGTTGGCCGCGGCTGACGCGTTGCTGTCATCCGTGCGCAGTTCGCCCGGGGCCTGGGTGACATCTGCTTCCAGATCCTGGACAAAAGCAACGTGGCGCTCAAGGATCTGGCAGCAGACACGAAGAAGCGCGGAGACCCCATCCATGTCAGCCGAGTGCTCTCCGCCATGGTGAGACGCTGCGCACGGACACGCGGGCACGGACACACAGAGATGCACGCACGGACACGTGCCCACGTGTGCTCTTTGAGGACCACGTGAAGTACTACAGGGTGCCACGGTGGTTAGATGTTAACCACCTTCACCGAGTGTACAAGAGGTCATGGGTTCGATCCCGACCCTGACACATGTATATTTGGAGTTTGCGTTTCTCTCCCCGTGGTCGCTTGGCTTTTTCTCCGAAATAAACCTGTTCCTCATTCCTCGCTTCTCTCTCTTTTTTTACGATCAGAGGAAACAAGAAGATGCTCGGTGTAGTCGGCACTTTGCTTCGTTCATCATTTCGTTTTTTCTCCAATGCTTTACTTTATGTGCCCCCCCCCCGCCCCTTTTTTTAAAATGAAAGATTTCACAAAAGACTTCACGCTCTGCTCTCCTCCTTCTTACCCCTTCCATCTCTCTCTACCCCCCCCCCCACTCTCTCTCTACCCCCTCTCTCCCTACTCCATGTCTATGTCCCCCCGTGTTATCTCCACCACCGCAGATCAACTCCAACGACGACAAGGGGGTGCTGCAGGGAAATTGGTCGGGCAAGTACCCAGACGGGACGTGGCCCACCAGCTGGACAGGCAGCGCCGACATCCTGCGTTGCTGGTATAAGACGCAGTGCCAGGCGGTCAAGTATGGTCAGTGCTGGGTGTTTGCCGGGGTGGCTTGTACCGGTGAGTGCCATTTGATTGCACACGTTGTTTGCGTGCACGTACATACACACAAAGACAAAGCCCCCCCCCCCCCCCCGTATAGCCTGCAACAGACTGTTGGGGCAAGAGCACCTATTAAGGCCGGCACGGCACACGAAGGAGTGGGTGGCCAGTACCACGCCCGGCCGCCTTTGTCTCCCCAGTGACGATGTTTACACACCTCGCTAGGCACTCATTTGAGGCTGAGTAGACCTAGGGGAGGCTCAGGACCGTTTGAGATAATCGTCACTGGTGTTGGCCGTGAGCGGGAATCGAACTCGGGTCGCCGGGTTCGTCGCTACACTACCACACACGTACACACACGTACATATACGTATCTCAAAACAGGTAAACCCCACCTTCCAGCCAGGTTTATCATTTCTCCGTGACTGGGTTCCATGTTTAATAGAATATATTTACAAAACCATAATTGGCTCAATAGCCGACCTCATGGACAATACTGCAATGGAGCACACAGCACGGCATACACACAGCTGGTGCGACCATGTTATTGGTTTATAGAGTTATAAACACAGAGTGCACACTACACCCACATATATATGAAGTACACATTTCGCAGGGTTTGTGTCTATATTAGCTGGGTGGTGGTGGCGGTGGCCATGCACACGTAGCCTGTAATCTCAGCATTGTGTAGCCAGCGGCGAGGGTTGATGGATCGAAGAAGGCGGTACAGCAAAAATGTGGACTCCACCTGTTCCGTCTGTTACGGGATAGAGCGTTGCCCCCTCGCACGGGTGTTTTTTTGGATGCTCCAGTTTCATCACACATGTACATAATTGGACTAGGGCTAACCCCCCCAATTAGTCGCCATGGTGGCGAGATGTTAACTACCTCGCCTGGTATGCAGGAGGTCGTGAGTTTGATCCCGACCCTGACACCTGTATATTTGGAGTTTGCATGTTCTCGCCATGGTTGCGTAGACTTTTCTCCGGATCCTCCGGTTTTTCCCTCCACATTTAGAAACATGCGTTTGGAGTATTTGGCTGCATTTTATTTCCACGTGTTAAGCCACTTCGTTGAGCTATCATTTGTGGTCAGGTGGCTTTTGAAAAAGAGTTGTATAGCTTAGTGGGTCTTACCTGGTAAAATAAAAAACAGTAGTAGTAGTCCGGCTAGCTGAGGTTTTACAGTCATACATACATACACATTTACATACACATATATATACGAAGGATGTGTTGTCAATTTTCAAAATTTTAGATTGTTGATTTGAAAATGTCATGGGCGTGGCATGGGCTAGAGCAGAGATGGCCTGCTATGGCACAGGAGAGGATTTTACGATAATTGGACTTGCTGATGGCTGGTACTCTGCGAGCTATCCGCTGTGTCAAGCCAGAACCAAACCGTGCTACACTGGCCTCACAAGGCAATCTGACTCCGGGCCGAGCAGGCCCAGGGGTTTGGCTCGTGGAGTATTCACTCCGTGTGACGTCAGTCAGTACACTCAAGAGACGCGCCGTCGCCACGCCATCTACACGTGTCTCAACTCGTCCATTACATGTGACGTCAGCGGCATGGCTCTGCTTGTGCAGTCGAAAAACTTGGCACCTCCTGAGCTGTGCCGGGCTGGCTGTACACGGCCCCTGCGCAGCACGTTTTGTGCCAGCGGAAAATACGTTTCTGTGGCCTTTGAGGGGTCATTTTGCTATTCATGACCTTTTAGCCGCTGACCTCTGGGGCAACCCCTTGACCTTACCCCACAGTGATGCGCTTCTTTGGCCTGCCGACACGCTGCGTCACCAACTTCACGTCGGCGCACGACAAGGACGGGAACCTCTCGTGCGACCGCTTCTACTACGAGAGCAGCAACAAGCAGGAGTCCCACGACTCTGTGTGGTGAGACACGGCAACACAAAGGACGCGAGATGCGGCATGGGTGACAGGACACACAGGGACACGAGGAGTGATAGTGGACATAGGGGGGGGGGGGCATGGAAGAGACAAGGACGTGGAGACACGGGGACACAAACGATTGCAGACCCCCCTCTGTGTAACACATCAGCGCCTTCCTGGGCTATGAGAACGATGTTGCCCCCCCCCTACCACCGCCACCCCTCTGTACCCACTGCAGAGGTCGCAACCGGGTACCCGATACCCGTACCCTACCCGTACCCGTATCCGGCCGCACCAGGTTTGCAAACGGGTACCCGTTTGTGACCCTGGTGCGGCCGGGTACGGATAGACCGTGAGTCACTGGTGAGTAACTGTTTGTCACTCATTTCCCAACGTCTGGTCTCTTCTCACAATTTAAGTTCCTAGAATCAACCCACCCGCGCCTGCAACATGGCTTCATCCCAGAGGTCGCAATCAGGTACCCGATACCCGTACCCTACCGGTACCCAGCCGGGTACGGGTACCCGTTTGCGACCCTGGTGCGGCCGGGTACGGGTACGGGTAAGGAATCAAAACCCGTTTGCCACCTCTGTGCCCACCACCTGGCTAGCAGGAACACGTGGTCGCCCATCCTAGGCCCCGAGCATCGCTCGGCTCTCCTCGGTGTCCTTCCGACGTCCGATCAATATCGGGCGCATCGCGGGCGAATTTCTTCAAAGGGCAATTCGGCTTGGCGAAGTAGCGTTGTCGCAACATGAAATCCTTCATTCTGACGGTCTAGCCCGACTGTTAGCCTCAACGGGTCCTCTCGAATGACACTCGCCTCGGCAGTGCATCTCACTACCTTAACAAATTATCTTTATCTCCCCCCCCTCCACTTCAATTCTCCCCCTTTCTCCCCCTTCCCCGGTTAACCCACTGCTCCCGAGTGCTATCCCTAACGTTGCAGAGTAGTGAACCCGGGTGACTTTAATTGGCCCCCATTTGGGGGAGCATTACTCGGAGGTTGCGGCTAGACTGAGATGTTTACTTCCTCGCCTGGTATGCAGGGGGTCGTGGGTTTGATTCCGACCCTGACACTTGTATACTTGGAAATTCATGTCTCTCTCTTTCCGTGGTCATGTAGATTTTTATCCGGGTCCCGCGGTTTTCCCCTCCACATTCATAATCAACAAGCATTTCGAGTATTTGGCTGCTATGAATTTCCATGCGACGAGCCACCTCGTTGAGGTATTGTTTATGGCCGGGTCGCTTCTGAATAAGAGCTACGTAGCTCAGTAGGCCTCGCCTGGTGAAATAAAAAGTGCAGCTTAATTTGAAAATTTATTTTGTGTTTAGTTTTCTTTGGGTTCAATTATAATAATGATACATTCTCATCATCAGCACTTTCCCCTAAAATTCTGTTTCAACGTGAGCACGAATAAACAGGTGCCCCTTAAAACAGCGTTCGGTCGTTCCCGTTGTGTCGGCTGGCAGGAACTTCCACGTGTGGGTGGAGAGTTGGATGTCGCGGAAGGACATCGAGGAGGGATACGATGGGTGGCAGGTGGTTGATCCAACCCCCCAGGAGAGGAGCGAGGGTGAGTGACGCGTGTGATGGCATCGACGCCTCCATAAGCCGGAATCTGTAGGCTCACCAGGGCGGCAACATCCTCATCATCATCATCATCGACGTCGACACACTCCCACATAATCAAATCTGTAACTCACGAGACAACCTCATCATGACAGAAGCGCAGCGCAGGCCCCGGAGGACCACAGATTTCACGCAAAGCACACAGAAATGTGTACAACCAAGCGCTCGGTCTGTGTGCACACGATGCAAAAGCCATCAGCAGTTCCCCAAGAATGGATCCACCCCTTGCAGTTATATTTCTTCACATACCAGTTACGAATCATCAGTAGTTCCCAAAGAACTGCAATGTGGTCCCTCTTATCTTAAGTCACTGTCAAATGACCTGAGGCAAGATGAACTGCATAATGCAATTCTTCGGGACCCGCCGATGTTTTTTGTTGTTGCAAAATGCAGAATGGCCGAGTGCTTATTGTGTGCATTGTCTGAAACTCAAAGTCATCCGGCCTGGCACTATCTTTCCGTAACGACGGCGTTCTCTCGTCATTCGCAGATCTCATCGATTGATCGAGGAGACGCAGGAGGCATGCCCGCGGGGCCACGCGTAGGCATCCTTATTTTTTATTGACACAATTGGGGCCCTGCGCCCGTATCTCCCAGGCGTGTTCTGCTGCGGGCCGGCGCCGGTGAATGCGGTGCGCAAGGGCCAGGTAGCGCTGGGCTACGAGACGCCGTTCGTGTTCGCCGAGGTGAACGCCGACGTGGTGATGTGGTCCGTGGCGGCCGACGGGAGGCGAACGCGCATGTCGTGCATCACGGACCACGTGGGACGCTGCATCAGCACCAAGCGCGCGGGCCGCGACGAGCGGGAGGACATCACGCTGCAGTACAAGTACCCTGAAGGTACGCGGGGCGAGACACGCGGATGGCGAGTCCAGAGTTGGTCCCGTTGAACCGGGCGAGAACCCGGGGTGACTTGAGGGAGTAGGACAGGAGCAGCCTGGGATGGGTGGTGAGCATGGGGGGGGGGGGTGCTACACTCAAATGTACGGTGGGAAAGAAGCCCCAACAAACACACACACGCACGCAAGTGAAAACCCCTTCAACTACCACCAAGCAATGTAAAAATAGTTGAATAAGCAAATAAAAAATGGCACCAAAAACGAAGAGCAAAGAGAAGTCGGGCCGAAAGACAAATCGCATCGCGTGAGACATTGAAATGATTGCGAAAGACGTGGGTCGATGCCGAATGGTAAAATTCCCAGCGGCGTAGATTATGTGGCTTAGAGCTATCACGGCACAATTACAATTACATACCTGTCAACCCATATGGTTTACCCATATTCTTTTACAGGGAAATTGAGTTTTCAGGTCATAATGGCGTACAGCCGTTTCAACACGGGCAAATTTGTTTTTGGTTAATTTGTTTGTGTTTCTCTCTTGTAGGATGAACTTTGAGATTTTTAAGGGCACGGGGTGACCAATAAGGTCTGGATTGGTCGCTGATAAGGTAGGCACTGATAAGGGGTTGACAGGTATGCAAATAAGTGACAGAAGTATTAAACAGAAATGACAACCACAACTTTGTTTACCAAAAAAACCCACCACCCAGTCATATTGGCATCGGCTAAAAACATCCCCAATGTTGAAAATATTACCCGCAGGTAACTCAATTGGGATCACACACAGCAGCAATATCACCCTCCCTCCCCTCCCCGCCCCCACTGCAAAAATCTGCCAAAGATCTTCTTGAAAATGAGTCCTAGAACTTAATGATGCCTTCCTGGGTAATCCAGCGTCATAGTAAGAAAACTAAATTGCATTTACGATTGCCATATTCTCCAAATTATGTGACGCACTTTCCTCCCCCGTATTCTGACGCAAAGGTTGAGGGGTGCGAGATGTTAACTACCTCGCCTGGTATGCAGGAGGTCATGGGGTCGATTCTAATCCTGACGTGAGTTTGCGTGTCTCTCTCTCTCATCATAATCACGGTGGCAAGGAGATGTAAACTACATCGCCTGGTGTACAGGAGGTCATGGGGTCGAACCCGACCCTGATGCCTGCTGTTTATTTGGAGTCTGCGTCTATCTATCTTATCACCGTCACAGTGGCTAGGAGATGTTAACTACCTCGCCTGGTATGCAGGAGGTCGTGCGTTCGATCCCGACCCTGACGCCTGCTTGTGTGTTTGGAGTTTGCGTGTTCTCCCTGTGGTCACGTGGAGTTTTCTCCCTGTCCTCCAGTTTTTCCCATCTACATTTAGAAACATGCGTTTCGAGTATTTGGCTGCTATAAATTGCCACGTGATAAACCGCTTTGTTGAGCTTTTCTTCATGGCCAGGTCGCTTCATAAAACGAGCTATATAGCTCAGTGGTAAAACAAAAATAGTTTAGTTTAGTTATTCTTATAGCCCGCAAACTGTGCGCGCGTGTGTGCATACGCGCGTGCACCTGTGCACGTTGTGGATTAACTCTGCGTGCGAAATGAAAGGTCAACACAAAGAATGCATTTAATAAAATATAAAGGTGCAGCCCTGAAATTTCCTGCTCATGCCACTGCTTGCAGAAAGGCCTCCACTACAGGGCGCTCTTGAGGTCCTCTCTAGAGGGTAATTTGCCTACTCTTCCACACTGGTAAGACGTCTTAGATGAGGTGGCTGTACTCACACTTTATCCCACAACCGGCCGAATGAAAGTTCGTTGACTGTGATCAGCAAACATGACGAATGCAACTCCAAACAGGACGAGTGATCAGCACGAGACTAAAAGAACGTCATAGAAATATTAAATACTACCAAATACAACTGTCAGCAGTAGCAGAACACGCGTGCCAACAAGGACACTCAATTGATGTTGAAGTTCTGTGCAAAACTAGCTACTACTGGCCAAGACAAATTAGAGAATCAATCGAAATTGAGAGAAATACAAATAATTTTAACCGTTCGCATAGCCAAAGACGTAGTGCTGCTTGGAAGTGAAACATAAAAAATACATTGTTGATAAGCATGCCTATACAGGCCACCGTACTTCAATAGGGATTACCTTTGGTACCGCTATTTTAGTACATACAATGGACAGTAAGTACAAGAACAATAGGCTCGCATAATGCGCATGCATAATCCACGTTGATTACCAAATACATATGCATTCATTAACCCCCAGCCACTATCGCGTAAGAAGTGCACACAAGGGGTGGTATCACATCTACGCCTCTCTTTAAAGAATGAAACGGGTGAACTTCTCCACAAATCTGGCTGTCGCCTGATGAAGCTGGCTGTAATTACTGGCGTAAAACGTCGTACTCAGATTGTAAATGTTGTGGCTTGGCTCTCCAACACACCGGTGTGCTGTACTAGTGACGAATTGGCCACGTGACAACCCTTACTAATTTTCTGTATCGGGTGGTGTCGGGTTTAATGGCACTTCTATATATTTACGCGATCTAGCCCAAAAAAACTGTATTATGGATGATATTGGTCGCGAAAGCCTCCAACCACGTGTTAAACTCCTTAACCCTCTCCCCCCTCCCCAAGGCTCCAAGGAGGAGCGAGCGGCCTATGCCCGGGCAACGTGCATCGTCCGTGGGGAGAAACCGCAGCCAGGAGTCGACGACGACTATTCTCGGCCACCGCGTGTGCCGCCGGCCCCCAACGGAGCCGGCGAGCAGGGCGAGCAGCAGGAGGTGGTCCAGGGCCTGGTCCTGCGAACCCGCCTGAGCCGCTCGGCGTTTGTGGGCAGCGACATGGACGTGCACACGTCGCTGCGGAACCCGTCGCGCCGGCACGCGGCGGTCGTGCGTCTTGTGCTCTGCGCCAGGGCCGTCACCTACACGGGGATAGTCAAGGGCATCTGCACCCAGAGGGAGTGCACCGTGAAGGTGCCTCCCGGAGAGAGTGAGTTGACCTCCGTTGAGTATGGCTAGCCACGTGCGATGAGAACGAATTTCCACATACATACAGGCAGTCCCTGACTTACGAACGGCTGACTTACAAGCACCCGTACTTACGATCGGGCTTCCATGAGATATTTATGATTTAGCCATCCGACCTGCGAGCGTGAACTCGCACTTGCGAAACAAACCGAGGAACTGTTTAGTGTACCATGCAAATTTACAATATTTCTTCTTATTATCTACGAGTTTAACAGTGCTTCCCTTTTTTTTGTTGAAACGTAACACATTTCATGACACAGACAGGATGTTCGTTTAACTACAGTTACATTATTGTGTTCCGACTTCCGAACCGTTCGACTTACGAACTGGCTACCAGAACGGAATGCATTCATAAGTCGCAGTCTGTGCGTACATACGACGGGGACGAGGGCTGCCCACCTGTTCTGTCGTCGTTATTGTCGCCAGCGGGGGCAGGATGGCGTGGTGATGACACTCGTGGCAACAATGTCCTGGTTTCGACTCCCAACATTAGCGCCCTTCCTGCATGGAGTTTAAATTATTATTGAACTTTTTTTAAATTCAATTTTATCAGGTAAGGCCCACTGAGTTATACAGCTCTTTTTGAGAAGCAACATGGCCACAAATTATAGCTCAACGAAGTGGCTTATTCTGTGGAAAATCTTAGCAGCCAAATACTCTCAAATGCGTGATGTAAATTATAAGTGTGGAGGGAAAGACTGGAGGATCTAGAGAAAAATCCACGTGACCACGGGGAGAACACGCAAACTCCAAATATACAGCAGGTGTCAGGTTCAGGATCGAACCCACGACCTCCTGTATACCAGGCGGGGTAGTTAACGTCTTGCCACCTTGGCTCATTTGTATCGTCTCTCTGCCTCTGTTCTGCATGGGTTTCCTCTGAGTTGTCCAGTTGCCTCCCATAGCTTACAGTTTGTTTTTACTGATATCGCCCGAATTTCCCATAATGACCATTATGGTGCTACTGCTCTTTCTGTTGATGATGCAGATGATAATGCTATTTGTAATTACTGACAAAATGTCGTACTCAAATTATAAATGTTGTGGCCAACGCACCGGTGTTGCTGTACTAGTAACGAATTGGCATGTTCTGTTTACGTGACAACCCTTATTAATTAGCCGTGTCGGGTGGTGTCGGGTTTAACGACACAGTTATATATTATTATATACAGGGTGACCCAAAAAAAACGGGCCCCAACTCTAATAGGCCCCGTGTGCACGGGGCCCGTTTTTTTTGGGTCACCCTGTATTATTGATGCTGACGATCATGCAAATGGCGATGCTGTCCGTCTCTCACTAGTTGTCTCGGAGCCGCTGCGTATCAAGTACAAGGACTACGAGTCTCAGCTGAGAGATCAGAACATCATCCGCGTCACCTGCGCTATCACTCTGCCCGGCCAGGAGACGATCCTGGCCTTTTCTGAGCGGAACATCATCCTCGAGACCCCAGAGATCCACGTGATGGTCAGCCTATAGCATCTGTTCAGAGTGAATCTGTCACCACTTACACGACCAGTGTGCTTTTTGTGCTAAGTTTGATGTCCTTCCCCTGCACCTCTAATTATCGTGGTTGGTTTCGTACTGTGTGAAAGAAGTTCAACGTACGTGCAACATACACAATGTGTGGCCTAAAAAAATCTTATAAACGACGTTTCGGGCCATAGCCCTTCTTCGTTGCACGTACTGTAAATAGTGAGGACAAAAGTGGGACAGAGTGGAGGAGAAGAGTTGGAGACTGCAATTGTTTACACCGTAGTTCCTGTGAGAATTTAATTGAATGTTTTTCTCATTAAAAACAGGCAGTTACATAATAGTAGCTGTTGAGTAAGAGCGAAACCCTTGCATAATCCTGAAGAATGGCAACCTTTACTGCAGCCTTGCACCCCATTGGTTCTAAGTCATACATTTTGTGTATGTTAAAAACATAGGGTTTGATGAAACAAATTAAGTTGTATTTAACGTGCCCGTGCATAATTTGTGTTTTCGATGATTTACCTTCTAAAAAAAATATGGCCATGTCTCGTACCCCCCAGAAAGGGCACCTCCAGGTTAAGAACCACTGGCTTAAACGAAAAATTATTCAATGTTGCTGGCACAACGAATTGCGATCACAGCACACGATGTTAAATTTCGATTTAAAGCTTTCGTGACTGCAGGGATTCATCTTCTTGGTTCTTTCGGTAAAGTCACGTAGAAGGGAAGTAATAAAATAATAAAAATAAAACATAATAAAACAATTCTCACGACGTTTCGGCCACAACGCAAGCAGCCGTCCTCAGGTGAAAACCAGGTCTGTCGAGCACACGATGTGTTAAATGGAGCCCCCCCACGTGTTGTGTTTACATGAGGGGGGGGGGGGCGGGGGGAGGGTGCTCTTGCCAGTTCGCATCTGCTCATCCATCGTGTAACAAGCCAGGGCTCTGCCGACGGGACCGAAAAGGTCGTTTTTGTTCGCGTCAACAAATGCTGCTTCGATACAGGGCGGCAGGGTGTTGCAGCGAGAAGGGTTCGACATCGAGGAATAATAGCAACCCCCCCGACGTCGACGAGGAATTGGAGGCGCTATCATATTCTTAGGTTTTTTTCGGTAAAGTCACGTAGGTAAAACATTAAAATTAATAAAAGTAAAATAAAATAAAAATCACGACGTTTCGGAAGCAACACAAGCTTCCGTCTTCAGGTGGAACCGTCACAGCCCGACAGCTGTATCAAGTAAATGAGAGATTACAGGAGATACCACTCCGTTTATATAATGGTTGAGGGGGGGGGGGGAAGGGGCAGGGAATGCCCACTCTTTATTATTATGGTAAGGTGCGGTTTGAGACTATGAATAGACTGCATAACAAAAGACTGAGCCTTTATTATGGAGAGGTTCTGTTTGTGACTACGCCTGGCCTGCATAACAAAAGTGTGAAAAAAGAAAGCTAAACCTTCTTCTTGGTTCTTTCGGTGAAGTCACGTAGAAGGGAAGTAATAAAATAATAAAAATAAAACAAAATAAAATTATTCTCACGACGTTTCGGCCACAACGCAAGCAGCCGTCCTCAGGTGAAAAACCAGGTCCGTCGAGGCGACAGAGTATGAATGAAACAGCACACGAGCTTGGAGCATATATATAAGCTGGGCGCCTTGACAAAGAAATTTGCATATCAAGAGGAATTTAGCATATTTATGGGAAATGCAGGAATGTGATTAGTACTACATATACATATGCATTTCCCATAAATATGCTAAATTCCTCTTGATATGCAAATTCCTTTGTCAAGGCGCCCAGCTTATATATATGCTCCAAGCTCGTGTGCTGTTTCATTCAGACTCTGTCGCCTCGACGGACCTGGTTTTTCACCTGAGGACGGCTGCTTGCGTTGTGGCCGAAACGTCGTGAGAATAATTTTATGTTTTATTTTTATTATTTTATTACTTCCCTTCTACGTGACTTCACCGAAAGAACCAAGAAGATGAATCCCTGTAGTCACGAAAGCTTTAAATCAAAGCTAAACCTGGTAGAAAGCTAAACATGGAGGCGCTTTGCTTTGTTTGTGGATTGGTCGTGCCAGGTGCTGGGTGAGCCTGTGGTTGGCCGAGAGCTGAAGGTCGAGATGTCCTTGGTGAATCCACTGCCTCAGCCTCTGGACGACGGGGTGTTCTCCCTCGAGGGACCAGGCCTCACCAGTCTCCAGCAAATCTCCTGCAGGTACAGAAAAAACCCCCACGTCACGCACGTTTATTTTACTACAATTGTTATTGCTATTGTTGTCGTTTAAACGTTGCGCTTGTTTACCCAACGATAGTCTCACTGGGTCTGGGTCCTTTCCAGGTTTGCACAGTAGGGGGGCTCGTTGCTATGTCATTTACAACTCAGTAATTTGCAGGTGATTTTACCGCAACTGGAATGTTTGGTCAATACCCAGTTACATGGTGTACGTTTAACTTTGAGTTTTATGTGACTCTAAACTCATCGAACGATACGATGACGTCCATGCGGCAGAAAACCCATGCTACTTACTATGACTACTGCGCCAACCACTTGCCGAACCAAAAACAAATGCAGATGTGTATCGCGAAACGAGGAAGAACAATCATGTTCACGAATGGATCACCACAACGCTTGCCAAAGAGGCATTCATCAGAATCAGAATGTTTATGATGAGCTACTAAGCCCTTTTTCACAGATGTCCTCGGAAGTGTTCAACTAGATGCCGTGGATTAATGGTGAGCACGTGTCTCCTCTCTCCATGACCCCGACCCACAGCGACGTGGTGGAACCCGAGAAGAGAGTGTGCGTCAGTGCATCGTTTTGCCCAAGCAAGCCTGGGCTGCACAACCTCATCATCACGTTCAACAGCAATCGCCTGCGTAACGTCCACGGAGAGGCACGCGTCATCGTGCGCAGAGCTTAAGTGCGCCGAGCTGACTGCCCCGCGCAGCCTGGGTTCAGAGTCTGGGTATGCGTGCATTCCAACCAGCTGTGCGGGATACTACGGGTTTCAAAATGACCGTTAACATAGTAACAATTCAGTCTATTTGGTATTTGCGCCATTCTTATCACGGGGTGTCCCAAAAGTCTAGAATTATAGGGGAAATAATACAAAAAGCAATAATAACGCTTTTATTCACAGAACATACTCGATGTGTCCACCATTGTTCCTGATACACAACAAACTCCTCGAAGGACTACTGCGTGGTTTATCTTGTATGGATCCCGTTTCCCTAAACTTTGCAACACAGCTCTGTGTTATTGGCTCGCGGTCTGGATGCAGTCTGTTAAATGCAACAGCGATTCCTATGAGTTGCATTATCTTGACTCATTCTTCCTTACTCAGATACATCTTGGGCCTGCAGAAACAAAACAATATGAATTAGTTATGTTTTCCCTATGATTCCAGACTTATGGGATACCCTGTATATATGACGAAGGCGCCATGTGCCACAGACAGATTTAGTCTTCCATTATAAGGGGATGTTGCTGCTGCCGCCAATGTGAAAGCAAAAATTCAGTCGTTTGTGGGGTCATTTTTAAAATTCGAAAATGTTGACCGTTACGTCAGCACACAATGACCTCCTAATTTTTGAAATGCATGAGGGGTTCTGTAACATCAACTGTGAAGCAGGCGGCGCTTAGTACGTTGTGCTTAATACACCTGAAGTTATAACTAGCGTCGTCTGCCAGATTAAAACCACGAATCTCTGCAACAAGTGGCCATGTCTGGGTATTTTCATGTCTATTTCTCTGTTTTTTAAATATATGTTAAGTACTGTAGTTCATAATGTCAATGTCAGATACGCTCAACTAGTACTACCTTATTAAAACACCTGGGTCTAATCCTTGGGTATGTTTGCATTTTATATCAAGGCTGTTTCGCCCATCTATGCACTGCACGTTAAGTATGTTCCGATTAGTGGTGGTTGTTTATGAGGGTAGACTGACAGCTGCCATTAGAATTTGGGCCACCCCTGAGTTTGGAGGCCATCAAGTGACTTGGCTCAGAGTCACGACTGACAACAACTAAGGTTGTGAAGCCATGCATGTGTCAGCTCTTCCCGCCTGCAAATGTGTTGGGCACCGTTACTCTCGTGAAGATAATCCAATACCAACAAACCTTTTCCATGAACTTGCGTTGCTATTCGGAACCCATCCGAAATAAAACCAAATTTATCAAATGGTAACCCTAAACTCGGAGACTCGAGACGTGCTATGAGGACCAACATCGGCAACACGGCCCTGCCGGCCGAGGTTGCACCTTGCTGGGCAGAGCCGCTTTGAGAGCAGCGTGGACTCGTCATGGCCTATGGACGTACTGCTTTCTGCGCGCCTTTACAAGAGCGCGACTGTTGTCATTTAAAAGCAAACACTTCAGAGGACAATCGCATTGTTAGAAAGCGTTTAAAGAACTTTAACCATATGCGTAAATTCCCATTCCTTGTTTATTCCGTTGTGGTTTTTTTTCACCATGGGGAGCCAACTGATAACACTGGTCAGCCAATCTATCCTTGCCTGCCATGCTGTCGCCAGTCTCAACGTCTTACGTTTGCATACCTGTCAACCCCCTTATCAGTGCCCTACTTTATTACAGACCAATTCAGACCTTATCGGTCATAAATATCAATGTTCATCTATACAAGGTCACCTCACAAGGGAGAAAGACACGTTTGTTTTGCCCGTATTGAAACGGCTGAATGCCGTATGGACCTGAAAACTCAATTCCCCTGTACAAGAATACAGTTAAACCGTAGGTGTTGACAGGTATGCATTTATGACATACGTAACATTTAAAGTGACGGTGTTTGGTTTGTTCCTTTATTTGAAAATGTCTTGCTTATGTTTTATGGGCCAAATAAATAGATACAGAAATAATCCCGAGTTTGCGTCTCTGTAATGTTCGAGAACGGGCATGGGTGGTGCTGCGACTGAAGCCGGATTCACAGCTGAGTTGTGAAAACCAAACTGTCCTCGAAATCGCGCAACTTCATCGCCTGCAACTGGTTTGTCCATCTTCTTGGTTCTTTCGGTAAAGTCACGTAGAAGGGAAATAATAAAATAATAAAAATAAAACATAATGAAATAATTATCACGACGTTTCGGCCACAACGCAAGCAGCCGTCCTGCATTCCGACCGCAGGTATTGTGGTCAATGCAAACATGATTCCTTGTAATTAAGGTGTCAGTTTTGTTGTTGATATGTCATATTGTAGATGTTGATATATTGTTAGTGTGGTTGATTTGAACAATATTATTGCTTTTAAAGTGATTATTATTGTTGTAGTTGGTTGATAGTAGGCTTGCGAGTTAGGAAACGAACAGAATACAATCCATATCGTTTGCAATTCACTTAAGTTAGATCCTGCACAAATGCGTGGGCAGTGTTGGTATAATATTAATACTATCATGAGAATAGTTTTTTACCTTTTAAAATCATATCGTGAAAATGCACATTGTAACATTGCGTATTATGAACAACTATGTCGCAGCAAATCTAACCGTAACACTCGTGGTATGGTTTCACGGAGTGGGATAATTTGCACCAAAGACAAAGATCCCCCGTCTGATGGACGAAGAGGATGGACACACATGATCCAACAGGAATCAAGAACAGCACGAGACTACAATTGTACATTACGTCTCTATGGACTGGAGAGCACATCAAAACACTCCGCTTTCAAACACTCCGCTGCTCTGCTGTAAGTCAGCACAAAAGTGAAGTGACAACTTCCTTGAAGCTTCAATTATTGGAGTGGTGTGTCTGCAACTTCGACATATTTGCTATGACAGCCGTATTTGCAGGAGTTGATGCGGGTCTTTTGGTGTCCCAAAGATGAGCAGGAAGTCCGATGGCCCTCTCGCTGTTAATCGGAGCAGTCTTGAAATCATCTCGCATAGCCCGATGACTCCTCCGTTTGACACATAGGCTTTCGCGAACAATATTATTCGTAATAAAGTTTTTCTTGGATTAGATAGGGTAAATATGTCGCTATCCGACACAGCCAATTAGTAAGGTTTGTCACGTAAACAAAACGTGCCAACTCATTCCTACTTCGTTTTACTAATTGGCTGTGTCGGGTGGTGACGGGTTAACGACACATTTATACTTACGCGATCTAACCCAAAACATCTTTATTACTGATGACCCCTGATGATGCTCTCAGCAGTCACCACCTCAGCCACAGCTTATTTAGCCTTTCATTGGTTTCTGCTCCGCATTGGGTGGCTGTGACAAAAAGTAGACCACTGTAACTTACTGATAATTTACCACGACAAAAATCCTTCGGAAAAATCATCTTTATTTATCCTGGATAAATCCGATGAGCAATGAATATATTTTAACAGATGTCCAGTAGGGGCAGGTAAGAACGTTACAAAAATAAACAATATAAACAACTATTGGAGTGCAAACTGTAGGAAAGATAAGCAGATAAGTAAAAATAAATACTTATAATATATAACGTATATAAGTTCAAATTGCATAAGTACATCAATCCCCATGCTTGGGCAAGGCAGCAAAAACAGTCCCAGGCTACACCAAGACAGCACACAGTAAGGATGAAAATGTAATCTCTCCTCAGACTTTCACCATCTGACACTGTTTTAGCCCGATGTATTGGCGTCTTGATGAGACAGGATTTCTGTGCAGGGTGATGATGCGAATCTGCATTCAGATAGGCATCAGTGTGTGTTTCCTTTCAGTAAACACTGTTATTTTACGATTTAGGCAGCGTCCGAGCAAACTATCCAAGAATGGGAGTGTGTTATTCATCTCCATTTCCATAGTGAACTGGATGGTTGGGTTTTACGAATTGAGATGATTTAGAAATTCATTAAGTGTATCTTTACCATGTGGGCAGACAACTAAAGTGTGATTCACATATCTAAACCAAAAACATGGTTTTAGTGTACTTGAAGCAAGTGATCTTGCTTTAAATGTTTCCCATGTACAGATTCGCAATAGCAGGAGACAAAGGAGAGCCCATTGCTGCTCCTTCCTTGTGTTTAAATAAATCACCACTTTACAAGAAATTAGTGTTATTTAGACAATGGTTAGCTAGTTTTGGAATATCTTTTGGTAAACCTGTCTTATTTACTAGCGTATCGAGTAATTTAATTAATTCGTTAACCAGAACCTTAGCAAATAGAGAAATTACATCAAAGCTCACCAGAATATCATTAGGGTTAAGTTTCATATATTTAATAACATTCACAAGATGTTCCCGAATTTCTTATGAATGAAGATCAGAGCCTATTGTACTTACTATGGGTTGTAATGGGATACTGATTTTATGAATCTTTGGAAACCTGTACAATCTAGGTGATTTTGAGGCCCTTGGCTTAATTTGGTATTGCTCAGCCTTGGGAATGAATTAATTTGCAATGATTGCAGTAGTCTTACGTTCTAAAGTACTAGTTGGATCTCGTTTAACTTAATATAGGTACTTTTCTACAGTAAGTATTCAATTTTATTATCATACTCCACTCGTGGCATCACCACAGTTGTGAGGCCTTTATCAGCCGCCAGCATTTGGATATCGATTATTTGATCGAAGTTCTCTTGAGGCCTTTGCTTTGCTAAAGCTAATATTTCATTTTGGTAATTTGCTATTCTCAATTATTTTGCCTATTCATCTCTGCCCCATTACGTGGGAGGTGTTGTACCGCTGATTCCAACTCAGCAATGATCTCATCTCCTGGAATTGTGCGTGGGGCAACGGCATAGTTAAGACCTTTAGAGAGGACTGATGCCATGTCGCTGGTTAAATTAGTGTTAGTTAAGTTAATTACAGTTTTATTTTTAAATTGTTCTTCATTAGTTGGGAATTGTTTGTTATGAAGTCTACAAAATTTATAAATTTGGTTAGTTTTGGTTACGTTAAATACATTATCAGCCGATTGTTGTGTTATAGTGTCGATTATATTCCAATCATGTATGGATACAGTATTGCTGAGATGCAAGTGCTTTAGAGATTCAGAAATGTGAGACAAGTCACTCCTGTTGTGCTGTATTCTCTGTTGTAACAATAATTTGCTCGCTTTGTGTAGTATTTGGTTAACTTTAACATACTTTATGGGATGTGTTATTTTAACTGCATTTGGTATTACCTTTGAGTCTATGCACCTTTTGAGGAACACCAGTGAAGACGTACATTTTACACGCTTAATGTGGAGTTTCTCCATTTTTTTGGTTTTTGAGAAAAGTATCCTCCCCATAGAGGTTGGTCAGTTTAACACGTAGGCTTTCACGACTAATATTATTCATAATAAATGTTTTCTGGGTTAGATCGCGTAAGTACAAATGTGTCGTGCATTGCTCACTGTCACCACGGTCTAGGCTTCACACTCAGGGTGACCGTTGCCTTTGGAATTGCGGCACCTAAACTCGGGAACGCGTTTCCCTTCGAGGTCAGCTCTTCGGAGACACTGCAAATCTTCAAATCTCGACTGAAACGTTATCTAGGTAGGGTGTTGACTGTTATATTATCCGACTCTCTGTTGTATTACATTACATTTCTAAGTATACTAGATTTGTGTTTCTATTTCATTTATACCTGATGATGGTTGCAATCGAAACGTCGTATGCTAGTAATTAATTTATTATTTTCTCTTTATACGTGACTTTACCGAAAGAACCAAAGAGTGAAACGTTATCTGTTTAAAATTGCTTTCTCTCTTTAATTATTTTCAAACGTCTTTCTCAGTTCTCCTCAGTTAATGTTAACGATTTCCACCTTGCGCTCTGATAACGATTGTTTAAGGGCGCTTTATACATTTAAATAATTATTAAACTGGTTATGTCTGTCCGTAGGCCCGATATTAGAATTATTTTTCCTTGAGAAAAAGACCTGATGTTGCTCATCCACGTGGTTGCTTCTCTGTCGAAATTACCGCCGCTCGTGACCAGTTGTGTGCCATTCATGAGAGGTGTTTTCATACATTAACCCGTTAGCTCTGTTAAAAAAAAATACCTCTCGTTTACATAACGGTTGCAAAAAAATCACCAATCCCATTCTGCCACATTTGGCCGTGCATGCATCTCTCACGATGCAAATTGTGGAAGACACGTTCGGCGGCTAATCGTGATGAATTCCAATCCACGTAAAGTATAACGACAAACTGTTTACAGAGAAACCGTTTTGAGATGTAACGTTTCCCTTGCACAATTGCACTGTACGTAGCCGACCTTGATGGAGGCTTGAGACTGATGACCTGAGCTGCGGCTTAGATAACAGCGAGGTGTAAGGAAGTGAAATGGGTTGTTACGTATACAACGGTATGTGTGCGTTGGCCATTGTTTAGCGTCTCCTCTGCAGCACATCAATGTATCTTAAGGTCAAACAAACAGCCTTGAGGATCAGAAAGACAGGAACGAGCGCAAACACCACAAAGGTGATGCCAACCAGCAGCGGAGGCAGCCTCATGAAGTGGAACGATTCCCACACTACGGGAAACCCCACTATCACTAGGAAGAGTCCTGGGAGGGTCAGGAGAAGATGCACGGCCATTATCAGGAGGCCATCGATGTAGCCTGGAGAGATGTATTGGTTTTCCAAACGTTCCCGAACAAAATTACGCACAAACGCACGAGCAATTATTGTAATACTGGGAGATATCCAATCATAGTAAGTCTCGAACCAGTATCCACCATTCAACTGCCATGCCAGAAGCATCAATATCCAAGTCCCCACCCAGAACCACGAGGCTCCAAGAGAAACGACAGTGACTCCAAATATAACCGAGGCCCCTGCAGTCATGCTCCAATAGGGACAGACAAGAGCAAGGAAGATCATCAGGCTGCCCAAGGCCACTACCATTTTGACAAGTGAGTGCTTAATTTCCACAATGGAGTGCGTGTACATAAAGAGGAGGAGCTTCAGTGCACGGTACGCGCCGGAGATGACTGTTCTCTTCACTGCGGTTGGGCCGTTGAATGTGGCTGCAAGAACGAGGAATGTGATGAGGAGTCCAATCCAGATGTTCCAAAGCGCCATCCACAGAGGCTGTGGTAATACATATAAATAATGTACAGAAATAATTGCCGTAAATATACAATGTTTTACATCGCAAGATTCATATGAGCATGTTCACGAAGATGAAATAATCGATACTTAATATAACCGCAACGTGGATGTTTCTGTTGAAATGTATCGCGTAAAATCACTTACAGCCAGCCATGTAGTTAAAGTGAAGACCCAAGAGATGGTTTGTTCCATCCCCATCGTGGCACTCGTTACGGGAGATTTCACGATTTGAATGTTCGCCACACCTGTGAGCACATACACATCTGTGTGTCTGTATTGTTTCATTTGGCACATTGTTTCAAAGACAAATAACTTTGATGTACGTATTCTTGGTATTGTATTTCATTGTCCATGGCTTCTGTTGATCAAATCGAAAATATCGCAGCGACCTCGGCATTTTGCATTGGCACATAGGTTGCCGAGCACGACAAAGGGACACGAATAACCAGAGCTGTAGCTAAGTGGGGTTACACACACGCACACTCGCTTTGGCCTAAATCACGAACACATGTAAATACAAAATACACACACACAAACTGCTAAATCTATAACTCTTATGCGTATACTTGACACATGATATCGGCTCAATCTGAGTAGGGCACAACGTTATTAAAGGGCCATGTGGCGAGCGAGATGTTAACTCCTTCGCCTAGTATGCAGGAGTCGTGGATTAAATTCCAACCGTGACGCCTGTATATTTGGAGATTGCATGCCTCTCTCTCTCTCCCCCCGTGGTCACGTGGTGCTCCGGTTTTCCCCTCCACATTTATAAACGTGCGTTTAGAATATTTGGCTGCTATAAATGTCCACATGATGAGCCGTTTCATTGAGCTATCGTTCGTGGCCAGGTTGTATCTGAAAAACAGCTATGGAGCTCAGTAGGCCTTACCTGGTCAAATAAAAATAGTAAAAAATATATATCGTCTTGGTTCTTTCGGTAAAGTCACGTATAAGGGAAATAATAAAATAATAAAAATAAAGCATAATAAAATAATGTATTATTGATATATTATTATATTATTATATTATTTTATATGCTGAAATTTATTTTATTTTATTATTTCCCTTCTACGTGACTTAAAACATAATAAAGTAATATATTATTAATATATTATTATATTATTATAATATTTTATTATGTTTATTTCTATTATTTTATTATTTCCCTTCTACGTGACTTCACCGAAAGAACCAAGAAGATGAATCCCTGCAGTCACGAAAGCTTTAAATCGAAAAAAATATATAGTTTTAGTACAGATAGCAATGCTACCTTAGTCATTTACGGAGATAGCGCTGCCGCTATATAGTTACTCACAGAGAGCACTGCCGATTTAGCCACACTGTGAGAGGCAGGACGTCCACTCGTAAATCATCCTGTGAGAGACAGCACTACCGCAGTAGTCACTCACAGGGAGGTAGCATCGCCGCTCTGGTCACTTACGTGTAGCAAGGTGTGGGCTTTACCTGTGGAGTCGCTTGCATCTGAGGTGTGCTGCCGGGCGGAGATCTGAAGGGCACTGTTCACCTGTTTGTGCTTTAGGGTTTTAGCACGTGACGATTTGAGGAAGAGAAGCGGTATCACATCCTTCATACCACCCTTTACTGCTTTTTTTTCATCTTCGGCATTCAATGTTGTGGTCGCAAATTCTTCATCCGTAATAAAGGTGTTTTTTTCGGGGATAGATCGCGTAAATATATAAATGCGTCGTTAAACCCGACACCACTCGACACAGCCAACTAGTAAGGGTTGTCACGTAAACATAACGTGGCCAATTCGTCACTAGTACGGCACACCGGTTTTGTGTTGGAGAGCCAAGCCACAACATTTACAATCTGAGTACGACTTTTACGCCAGTACTTACAACTAGCTTCAACAGGTGACGGCCAGATTTGCAGAGAAGTCCACCTGTTTTGTTCCTTATATAGAAGTGTAAATGTGGTGACCACGCTTCTGCGCTCTTGCGCAAAGTGGGGGGCGGGGGGGGGGTGTTACTGAGTCACCGTACATTATACATTGGCATTATGCGAGCCCTCTCAACTTGTCCTTCCTGTAAATTGTGTGTATTAAAATAGCCGTACCAATGGTAATCCCTATTGGAAGAATGGTGCCCTGTATGAGCCCGCATTTAAACAATGTATTATTTGATGATTCACTTCCACGCAGCACTGAGTCGGTAGCCATCCGAACGGTTAAACTTTTTTTTTTAAATCCTTTATATTAAGTTCGCGTGCTTGCTTGCTTGCTTGCTTAGGACCGTGCAAATCTTTCGGTCGTTTTTTAACCCACTTCCCGTGATCCAATCGAGCTGACATTTTCCACACAGACTCGTTGTGCCAGACAATTATTGTTCGTGAAAAAAAATTCCCAAAATTTAACACTTTTTAGGCAAAAAAAATGTATTTTACATATATTCAAATAGAACGCATTCATGGCTTTGGCTGAACATCTCAGTGCAAGAGCCCAGAGCGTAACCCATCCACAGGCCGTGGTGGAGTAGCGCAGTTAGTAGCGCCCTCGCTTCCCATGCCAAAGGTCGCGGGATCGATCCCCGCGTCCTCCACAAGCGAATATATTTTTAAATCCTTTATATTAAGTTCGCTTGCTTGCTTAGGACCGTGCAAATCTTTCGCTCGTTTTTTAACCCACTTCCCGTGATCCAATCGAGCTGACATTTTCCACACAGACTCGTTGTGTGTGACAATACATTTTCGTGAAATTTTTTTTCCAAAATTTTACACTGTTTAGGGAAAACTAATTAAATATTTTATTACCAATTGCTTAATACTGGCAGTCAATCATCTGACCCATAGATTGCAGCCATCTCAAGCCAGAGGACGAGAGAACTCTAGCCGCCACGCATATAAAGGATTTAGAGTGAAAAACTTTGTTTTTACGGGTTTACTTGTTATTTAATCTTGATTTGAAGCTTACGTGACTGCAGGAATCCATACTCTTTGGTTCTTTCGGTAAAGTGACATATATAACCTTGTTGTAACTGCTCTCTCTCTGGTTCAGCAGTTCCACTGCTGGATTATATTTTTCCGCCTGAGGACGACCGCTTGTGTTGCGATCAAAACGTCGTGATTTATTTTATTTTATTTCATACCTACCTGACTTTACCGAAAGAACCAAAGAGTATTTATTTTCTTTCAATTTCGGTAGATTCTCTAATTAGTCTTGGCCAGTAGTAGCTAGTTTTGTACAGAACTTCGAACATGATCGAAATCAATTGAGTGTCATTGTTGGCACGCATGTTCTGCTACTGCTGATAGTTGTATTTGGGAGTGTTTAATATTTCTCTGATGTACTTTTAGTCTCGTGCTGATCATTCGTCCTGTTTGCCCAACGTTGAGATTCATAAGGGCACGGGGTGACCAATAAGGTCTGAATTGGTCTATAATAAGGTAGGCACTGATAAGGGGTGGACAGGTATGTAGAAGTGTAGTGTATAGTAGTGTATAGAAGCATACACATACTCTTTGTTCCTTTCGGGGAAAAGCCACGTAGGTATAAAATAAATCACGACGTATCGGGTGCAACACAAGCGACGGACGTGGCTTTACCGAAAAAAACTAAGAGTATGGATCCTTGCAGTCACGAAAGCTTCAAATCAAGATAGTACCATACACGTCAACCCATACGGTTTACCCTGTATTCTTGGTCTTGGAAATTTAGTTATGAGGTCCATACGGCGTACAGCCATTTCAATTCGGGCACAAAAATATATATATTTTGGTTGTGTTTCTCCCTTGTGCTGGGACTTTGTAGGATGAACGTTGAGATTGATAAGGGCACGGGGTCACCAATAAATATACAATGTTTTACTTCGCAAGATTCATTTGAGCATGTTACCGAAGATGAAATAATCGATACTTAATATAACCGCAACGTGGATGTTTCTGTTGAAATGTATCGCGTAAAATCACTTACAGCCAGCCATGTAGTTAAAGTGAAGACCCAAGAGATGGTTTGTCCCATCCCCATCGTGGCACTCGTTACGGGAGATTTCACGATTTGAATGTTCGCCACACCTGTCAGCACATACACATCTGTGTGTCTGTATTGTTTCATTTAGCACATTGTTTCAAAGACAAATAACTTTGATGTACGTGTTCCTGGTATTGTATTTCATTGTCCATGGCTTCTGTTGATCAATTCGAAAATATCGCATCGCCCTCGGCATTTTGCATTGGCACACAGGTTGCCGAGCACGACAAAGGCACACTAATAAACAGAGCGGTAGCTAAGTGTGGTTACACACACGCACACTCGCTTTGGCCTAAATCACGAACACATGTCAATACAAAATACACACACACAAACTGCTCAATCTAAAACTGTTATGCGTATACTGGACACATGATATCGGGTCGATCTGAGTAGGGCACAACGTTAGTAAGGGGGCATGTGGCGAGCGAGATGTTAGCTCCCTCGCCTAGTATGCAGGAGTCGTGGATTAAATTCCAACCGTGACGCCTGTATATTTGGAGATTGCATGCCTCTCTCTCTCTCTCCCCGTGGTCACGTGGTGCTCCGGTTTTTCCCTCCACATTAATAAACGTGCGTTTAGAATATTTGGCTGCTATAAATGTCCACATGATGAGCCGCTTCATTGAGCTATCGTTCGTGGCCAGGTTGCATCTGAAAAACAGCTATGGAGCTCAGTAGGCCTTACCTGGTCAAATAAAAATAGTAAAACATATATATCTTCTTGGTTCTTTCGGTAAAGTCACGTATAAGGGAAATTATAAAATAAAAAAAATAAAGCATAATAAAATAATGTATTATTGATATATTATTATATTATTTTATATGCTGAAATTTTTTATTTTATTATTTCCCTTCTACGTGACTTAAAACATAATAAAGTAATATATTATTAATATATTAATATATAATTATAATATTTTATTATGTGTATTTCTATTATTTTATTATTTCCCTTCTACGTGACTTTACCGAAAGAACCAAGAAGATGAATCCCTGCAGTCACGAAAGCTTTAAATCGAAAAAAATATATAGTTTTAGTACAGATAGCAATGCTACCTTAGTCATTTACGGAGATAGCGCTGCCGCTACAGTTACTCATAAAGAGCACTGCCGATTTAGCCACACTGTGAGAGGCAGGACGTCCACTCGTAAATCATCCTGTGAGAGACAGCACTACCGCAGTAGTCACTCACAGGGAGGTAGCATCGCTGCTCTGGTCACTCACGTGTAGCAAGGTGTGGGCTTTACCTGTGGAGTCGTTTGCACCTGAGGTGTGCTGTCGGCGGAGCTCTGGAGTACACTGTTCACCTGTATTGTGCTGTATAGGTGTTAAGCACGTGACGGTTTGAGGAAGAGAAGCGGTTTCACATACTTCATACCACCCTTTACTGCTTTTTTTTCATCTTCGGCATTCAATGTTGTGGTCGCAAATTTTTCATCCGTAATAGAGGTGTTTTTTGGGGGGTTAGATCGCCTAAATATATAAATGCGTTGTTAAACCCGCCACCACCCGACACAGCCATCTAGTAAGGGTTGTCACGTAAACAAAACGTGGCCAATTCGTCACTAGTACGGCACACCGGTGTGTTGGAGAGCCAAGCCACAACATTTACAATCTGAGTACGACTTTTACGCCAGTAATTACAACTAGCTTCATCAGGTGACGGCAAGATTTGCCGAGAAGTCCACCTGTTTTGTTCCTTATATAGAGGCGTAAATGTGGTGACCACGCTTCTGCGCTCTTGCGCAAAGTGGGGGGCGGGGGGGGGTGTTACTGAGTCACCGCACATTATACATGTGCATTATGTGAGCCCTCTGAACTTGTCCTTCCTGTCCATTGTGTGTATTAAAATAGCCGTACCAATGGTAATCCCTTTTGGAAGAATGGTGCCCTGTATGAGCATGCATTTAAACAATGTATTTTTTGATGATTCACTTCCACGCAGCACTGAGTCGGTAGCCATCCGAACGGTTAAACTTTTTTTTTTATTTAATCTTGATTTGAAGCTTTCGTGACTGCAGGAATCCATACTCTTTGGTTCTTTCGGTAAAGTCACATATATAACCTTGTTGTAACTGCTCTCTCGCTGGTTCAGCAGTTCCACTGCTGGATTATATTTTTTTCCGCCTGAGGACGACCGCTTGTGTTGCGATCAAAACGTCGTGATTTATTTTATTTTATTTCATACCTACCTGACTTTACCGAAAGAACCAAAGAGTATTTATTTTCTTTCAATTTCGGTAGATTCTCTAATTAGTCTTGGCCAGTAGTAGCTAGTTTTGTACAGAACTTCCAACATGATCGAAATCAATTGAGTGTCATTGTTGGCACGCATGTTCTGCTACTGCTGATAGTTGTATTTGGGAGTATTTAATATTTCTCTGATGTACTTTTAGTCTCGTGCTGATCATTCGTCCTGTTTGCCCAACGTTGAGATTCATAAGGGCACGGGGTGACCAATAAGGTCTGAATTGGTCTATAATAAGGTAGGCACTGATAAGGGGTGGACAGGTATGTAATAGTGTAGTGATTAGTAGTGTATAGTGTAGTGCATAGTGTATTGTATAGTAGTGTATAGTAGCATACACATACTCTTTGTTCCTTTCGGGGAAAAGCCACGTAGGTATAAAATAAATCACGACGTTTCGGGCGCAACACAAGCGACGGACGTGGCTTTACTGAAAGAACCAAAGAGTATGGATCCTTGCAGTCACGAAAGCTTCAAATAAAGATAGTACCATACACGTCAACCCATACGGTTTACCCCGTATTCTTGTACATGGAGATTTAGTTTTGAGGT